CACTTTGTATTTACACACGCTCTATCGCTGATATTGAGCGCTTTACCCCATAAATAAACTTTATAGTATATTTTTCATATATATATATATATATATATATATATATATATATATATATATATTATAATATCTAATCCATATATTAATTTCTCATTGCATGTATCGTTATTACTCTATTCCATCTCAGATATTTTCATGGTTACTAATCAATATCCTCTCAAATATTTTCCTGCCAACTGCTCTGACGAGTTATTTTCTCTGGTACCCCAAATGCATGAATTTAATCGTGCTACTGGGCTAGACTCTTGGGACCACCCTTTTACTGTCGAAACGGTCAAATGGAACCGCCCATTCTATTCCAAAAGCTTATTCTCTCACACTTCCCGACAGCTGAATTCCATTTCTCCTATTTTCTTCCCTGATAGCTATAATCTTCAAATATTCAAATGTAATGACAATCAACACCGTCCGATATGTTGGTCCTTATATCTGTTGTCATCGATATACTTTCCTCAAATACCCTCTCTTTACTTTTGCTCTCACTCTCTGTAAACCCTTGCGTGCTAGTAGCACTCCTACGTTGCTTTGTGTGAAATGCTTAAAAACAAATATATAAAATAGGTGTTATAAAAAACATTTCCACATGAGAGCGCATCAGAATTCATCAGAATGTAAGGCGAGACGCTGGCGGTTTGCAGATTAAATTCAACATACAAATAGTGGACTAATTTTTTGTTCGTATCGATCTCAATTTGAAATTGAAGTCTATTGAAGTGTTTTGAAAAGATGTTTTCTAATTCTGTTGTTTACTTGCCCGGACTATCATAAGCCCGTCGTCCCTACACAGCTTGTGCTTGTCTCTACGGACTATATCGTTGATCTTATTCAAAATATACAGGCCCATCATTTCCAAAACGCTAGCACCGTCGAAGGAACCTTTTGTGACGTCAAATGCACCGTCGAAGGAACCTTTTGTGACGTCAAAGTCACCGTCGACGGAACCTTTTGTGACGTCAAATGCACCGTCGAAGGAACGTTTTGTGACGTCAAATGCACCTTTGCCTGGTTTCTTAATCCATGCCACGCCATTGTAAAACAACACATCTTTACTACAATGCAAGGTTATCTCCAACTGTTTCGGTCTGATATCAACGAAACGCTTAGCAAATTTCAAAGTCTGAAGCAATCTTTTCTTCGTTATGGATGAATAAAAATTTTTGATGTCATACTTCAGGAATGCCTATATTTTGTTTATTTTCAGTTCGATTGAACCAAGAATACATTTGAGTTTATTCTGATGATGAAATATGCAAGATCAATTAAAAGAAAACAATCTCTCATTTCCTAACTGATTTTTTTATTTATATGTGCAATTTATAAAATATTGAACGTCGTTTAATGTTATACTCAAAAGGTTTATTTCCAATATCTTCGAAATTTAAAAGCATCAATGATTTTTGCAATTTCTTTTTGTTTTGTTTTTTTTTATGACGATGAACGGACTTTCTCTTAGGGAGGGCCTGTGCCTTGAGCGCTTATTGGGTTCTGAACACAGGCCAAAGCTCAACTGGAACTCGTACATATGATCTATCGCTAAAGATACTGGAAAAATCGCCGGTTCCAGATGGCGCCCCAGTCATTAACTGACAGCTCTTGCTATCCTCTACAATTACAAGTACGAGATAAGGCCGAAAATGGAGTGATTCTGCTATATCTGAACAGGAATTTTCCAGTCTCGATAGAGTCCATGTGGGTGACAAATTATTTTCCACCCTACACTTCATTGATTGACCAGCGTAATAATTCTTAATAAATTACACACATTTTGCAAGATTTGTTGGTTTATTTTACCTAATTCAGTCTTAGTTGCGTTAATTAGGCGAAATGCAGGGTTATTGTTTAAGTCATTTTTATGGTCCTTTACAGGTAGAAATGTTTGTTTGCCGCATAATATCCGGAGCCTGTCAACTACACCCAGCTTGTAGGTGATGTTGTTCGCCTCCTCATTGATACTTTCAATGTATAAAGCCGATGTCATTATATACATCTTGGTAACGTCTTCCTTTATATTTTCCCGGAAACCTTAGTGCTCATTTTGTAAATATTTACTGTCTTGTAGCCATTAACTAGAATCTTTGGTGTATTTTTTTTTCCAACGGTAGCTAATTGCTTTTGGAAGCCGCTCTCAATTTTTCTAAAGTGAATTTTATTTATTACTTCAAGCATATCGTTTTTGGAGATGGCTAGCTCTTCCATGGCAAGGGGTAACTCCAGATTTTTAATTTCATTTTTGATACACTTTCCTTGAAGTTTACGTATTTATATTTTCATGGCATAAGTGCAAGGAAAGAATGGCAAAACTTAAATTAAAAACCAGAACATACAGCATTGCCATTGAGGAGCTAGCCAGCTCGGCGAAGGATATGCTTGATGTAATAAGTAAAAACATGGTTAGATGTACAAAAACAAATATAGATTAATACAGAAAACAAAAACGCGGTAACATGAAAAAGTTGAAAGAAATACTAAAACAGAAATGATGTATAACTTCAAAGGAAAAAAAATGATATATATTTAATAAGTGCAATAAAATTAAAATAAATATTATATAAAATAGATAATAAAATTATAAAATAATATATATGAAAAAAAAAGTTTTAAGCTATGCTATATTTGCTGGTTAAATTGCTCAATCAAGGATTATACATATATATATATATATATATATATATATATATATATATATTATGTTAAGTATAAATATAAAGTCTACACTGAAGTTAACATACAGCGGGTACAGACTATTTAGTTATTATAAGAATATAAGTATGAAAGAGATTGTAATCTTGGGGTGTTAACTTCAGTGCACACTTTATATTTATACTTAATATAATATATATATATATATATATATATATATATATATATATATATATATATACACAAACGAAAGAAAGAACAGACGGAGTAAAAATACTATATTCGTAGCATTTACTTCTACAAATGTTCTAAATATAAGGTAGAGCAAATATATATATATATATATATATATATATATATATATATAATATACTTTGGAGAAAATTTATGATAAACTGGAAAAGCTTTTCGAAATACGCATGCACACGAACAAGGGTTGCTTGGAATTTAAATTTTAGTTATATATATATATATATATATATATATATATATATATGAAACTAAAATTTATATATATACTATATATATATATATATATATATATATATATATTATAAATTAAATGATTTAAAATATGTTTTTTTTTTCGCTATACAGTTCTAACCATGCTTCAAAAATGGAAGCTGAAAGCTCCGAATTTAATTTTGTAATTAAATTAAAGACCGGATTATATATCTTTCTGTTCTTTTTTTAATATATATATATATATATATTCTAGCCGATTTCATTTAGCGTTTTTGTTATTTTTATTATTGTTTCTTTCACATTTCTTACTATACATAACACGCTGTGTTAATCAAAGGTCTTCCAGATACTGTGCAATGTTGTAAGAGCCAAGGCGCGTATTTAATGTTAATGACCTTGTGATCAAAGCACTCTCTCAACATTTTTGACGTAGTGAATTGTCTTCTCCTTTGATCTGATTAATATTGCTCATGTCAAAATTGTTATCAATCTCGTTAAGGTGGGAAACCAACGCATTCGATGTATTCTTTTGTAAAATGTCCCTTTTGTGTTCATATAATATTTTATTTAGTTTCCTTAAGGTTTCTTCTATATTTTCGGTGACAATTATTACAGGCGATGAAGTAAATTCCTCTTTAAGGTCTTAGCTTATTGTTTTGTTTAGTATTAACTAAGACATTTCTTGACTTAGATGTAGTTGTAACAAATTTTATGTTGAGTTTAGAGAAGTTCTTTTGAATTGTAGATGTGAGAGACTTTGTTGGTAGGACAATATTTTTTTTTATTTCACTGGGTTTTCAAGGCGTGGACGTTTTTCTAATTTTGAATATTTTATGATCCTTTTACTTCGCACTGAATATAAAATAATTAGGGCATTGAAGATATTTGAAAGTGTTTTTCTCTTCTTTATTTGAACATTGAGGACCGCAAATTCTGGGGCTACAGATTATGAAGAGATACACATTGAACAAATTACAAAATTTACATTTCTTTCTGTTTGTTATTAAACTTGGTAATAGATGTATACAACGTATATTTTCGAGACTTAATCTCATGGAAATCCTTGGAAACAAAGGTTCTCCTGCAGCTATGTAAAACTTTGCATCTAACGAAAAGATTAGCTCTCTGAATTGCAACGTCAATCGTTATCTGTTTTTATTTTGTGTCCTTTTATTGTTCTCTCACCTTAATAGTGTTTATGCCGCGTATTCTCTAACCTCTGTGTCTTCTTTATTGTCTTGCTTGGTATGAAATGATTAACAATAATGTATGCAAAAAGTCAATACGATAATTTATAACAGTATTAACATTATTACTGAGTTGTGAATAAAGGTGTTTGTGTATTTAGACATACGTTTTATAGGACAATGAATAAAGCTGAATTTAGACATACGTTTCATAGGACAATTAATAAAGGTGGATTTAGACATACGTTTTATAGGACAATGAATAAAGGTGGATTTAGACATTCGTTTTATAGGACAATGAATAAAGGTGAATTAAGACATACGTTTTATAGGACAATGAATAAAGGTGGATTTAGACATAAGTTTTATAGAACAATGAGTAAAGGTGGATTTAGACATTCGTTTTATAGAACAATGAATAAAGGTGGATTTAGACATACGTTTTATAGGACAATGAATAAAGGTGGATTTAGGCATACGTTTTATAGGACAATGAATAAAGCTGAATTTAGACATACGTTTTATAGGACAATGAATAAAGTTGAATTTAGACATACGTTTTATAGGACAATTAATAAAGGTGGATTTAGACATACGTTTTATAGGACAATGAGTAAAGGTGTATTTAGACATAAGTTTTATAGGACAATGATCATAAATCCGTCTTTGTTTTATGTTATTAGAATTATTTTCTTTGATAATTTCTCTGTTGCTTCAGTACTTCGGGTTCTTAACCGATTCATCATCAGCAGCAGCATCAACATTCCCCACTATGCGCCTCTTTTCTTTTTGCTTAAGGTAGTTCATTGTGTCATTCTAGTGGTAAGAATATTGGCTCTTGAAACGTCCCCATACCATTTTACTTTTCTGTTCCTGTCAGTGATGATGTGCAGGTGGTGTAAGTTTTACCGTTTCGGGAAGAGGAATCGGAGTGGAGAGTTCGAATTCTAGTAGACTCCGTTCCATTCACTTACACTTGGGATAGGCATGAATATTTTTCTCTGTACCAGTTATGGTTTAAATATAGTGAAGAACGGGGCTATTTAGCGTTGTATACCAACCAGTTTACAGAATAATGACTCGGAATTTCAAAGATATACATAGCCTACGTGGAGCACATACTATAAAACGAAGGAAAGCTTCGTGGATTGCATTGATATAATATCGACTGCGGTTTTCTTTTTTCCCTTGACTGGAGATCAATTTCTTTTTCTTAGTATTTTGCACGGCGTCATTTGGTTTGGTTTGTTTTACGGCATCCCAACTTTAATATTTTATTTAATGCCGACAAGAATTTTTTGCTGGTAATATTCCTTTTTAATATTAATGATTAAGTGATACAATTGTTAACTGAACCATAGCTGGTGGAAGAAGAGGTCGATTCAAACCTGTCTCAAGAGTATTTGCATGTCAGTTGATATAACGAACCCAAGTTGAATTGGAACTCGATTCTCCAGTTAACAATTCTTTGTCTTTATCCATTAAAGCAACAGCACATCCCAGATTACAGCCCCAGATATTCCCAAGTGGTCACCCATCGAGGTACTAATCAGGTGTGACATTGCTTAACTTCGGTGATTGTACTGGAACCGGTGTTTCTATGTAATGTGATTGTAACCCTTCATTTACGTAGCAGGATTCTAATTTCGTAAATAATTTTGCACTGGTATATTTTTAATTTTGTCAATGATGTGTTTTTAGCTATGATAATAAGTTTAGATTTTTATTTAAATTCATAGTAAATAATTAGTTTGATATTTCTATCTAGTTCAACATTAGCGTTATATATTTTACATATTACTTGAAATAAATTCATCCTGTTTGTAATTTTGTGCAACTTGATACTATAAAATACATTGATATTACTGTTATTCAATCTACTAACTCATTTATGGTTTCAGAGTCTTCACGTTTGATTTGGTTTGGTTCGTTTTACGGCATATCAACCTCAATAGTGTATTTAATGCCGACAGGGTTTTTATTAAAGGTAATATTTTTTTCCAAAAATGTATTGCTGGCTATATTTTATATAATGTTACTTGAAACAAATTAATCCTGTTTGTAATTTTTATGCAGCTCGATACGATAAAATACCTTGATATTACTGCTATTCAGTCTGCGAACACATTTATGGCTTCAGCGTCTCAATATTTGATTTGTCTTACGGCTTATCAACATGAATGTTTTATTTAATGTCGACAAGATTTTTATTGCTAGTAATATTTAAAAAAAAATATATTGGTGGTAAAAATGTACTGCTGGTAATAATTATTTTTTGATCAAATTTCATTGCTGGTAATACTTTTTTACAAAAATGTATTGCGTGTATTAAAACCTATTTTATAGTTTCATAGTGTTTTGGCACCTTTCGGGTTTTAACTATTTGCCCGTAGCTGCGACCCTAACGAGTGCTAGTACCCCGGGTCAGGGTGGACCTGGGAACACCAGCAATTAAGAGGTGGTTCCACGCTCCTCAAAACCTCCTAATCAAAGGCCTTGCTGTCGAATGTAGTTTATTGTCTTACAGAGGATGCGTGAATAGTTTATCGTCATACTCAAGAGTCATAGCCAATTGTCTCGACACGTCCTATTTCATATGATTGTATTTTTCGCGTGTAGAATAGTGGTAGGCTTGCAGACACCCGCTTGTGGAAAAGTAGGTACCGACTGGAAACCAGTTGGTTGTTGACTGTTTTAATTTAGCGGCACATGAACCTGAATGGCTTATTTAATGCTGATATCCAAATAATGTGAACACAATTTTATGGCTTAAACTAAATATATTTTAAATACAATTATATACTTTCTACTATAGGTAAAATATATTGCTCGTTATATTTGCTTTAAAAATGTAGTTTTGGGATTTTTACTATAAATAGGTATTGGTCATTTTAATATAAATATGTATATTTGATCATCTTTATATAAAAATATATTACTAGAAATTTTACGACAAATATGTATTTTTATGCTTTCATAGATTATGGTTTGGGGTTCACTATTTGCCCAAAACTAGGACCCCGTAACAAGTGCTACCACCCCGGGTTTAGATAGGTCTGGAAATAACATCAATTAATAGACGTGGAAATTGACCATTAGCGAGTCAAATCCAACATCTTCGAGAGTCTGTTTTGTTGAGCGTAAGACGAAGGGCCTTGTGTATGTCAGGGGTATGTCTTTTTTTTCATTGCAGTTCTTAGTTAAATAGCATTGTAGTTTGAACTCAGTTACTTACCGATGCGATAGGTGGCTTGTTTAGAATGTGTTAGTGACACAAGTCTTGATAATTAACACATATATTGGTGGATTCATACATTCCGCAAGGATATTTAAATGTAAATGAATATAACGAGCCCAATTTGAACTGGAACTTGGCTCAGCAAGTAACAATTCCGAGCTGTTATCAACCACATACCCCACACATCCAAGCGTACAGCAACTGGTGTTCTCAAGCTAAACCCATCTAGTGACTGAATAGGCATCGTACAAGAAGAGGTGGAAACTTGTGTGACACTATTTGGCTTGCTAGAAAGAAAGAAGAAAAAAAAGGCGAGAATTAAATTTAGTTGATAAGAAGCCATCACGAACAGGACACTAAACGATGTTATTTTTCTAACAAAGAAAAGTGGTAAAATTTTCATTTCCATTGTTGAGAAAAAAAGATACTGGATTTAATCTGATTTATGTTACGGGGCGGAGAATAAGATATAGCCAATCTGCCCATGGCAATGGTGAAAATTCCAGGTTGGTCAAATGACCTGCGAGACAGAATTCTAAAGTGATAAAAATTAATTAAACACGCGCTGGCCGAAAAACAAAATGTCGCTGGACCACACAGAGTTACAAAAACAAAAGATTAAACCATTAGTTATCTGCGGAAGGGACGTTTGGAAAAAGCATCTGTTTATTGTCGAGACTGGCTATGATAGCGAAACTATTATATCGGAACAGTTAATTAGCAACAGAATGCGAATACGTCTAATTGACCACCCACTTGTTTGGCGAAGGCCCCGGGTGATAAAGACCAAGTCACATTTGGCTAAGATAAGAGTCCAAGGGTTCGTTGTCGGGCAGAACGAAAGAAAGAGAAAGAAAAGAAAAAGAAAAAAAGAGAAAGGAACATAATTTTTTTTCTTTGAGCCAGATTTTTTAAACCGAGGCTAGTCTGGCCACACCCACGCCGCTGAGTGCCCATTAGCTGAATGGTGGCGTGAGCGTTAGGCGGAGGTAATCATGTGAAGAAGGAGGGGAGGCCTGTTGAACCCCCTGAAGGGATAGGTGTGAGATGCCACTGTGAGAGAGAGGGGAACCCGTTGACACCCTCTGAGGGTATGGTGAGATACCAACATGAGAACAGAAGAAGGTGGGAGAACGAAAAGACTTTCAAAAATCGAAAATAATAAATTTTCTTGACCGAAAACAAAGAAGTGGATTGTGGATTTAGAATTATCCAGGAATCTCAAACCCCGACAAGCCCAACCCGGTTTTGGTCGGCGTCCATATAAGCAGAGTCGCAGCGAGTTAAAATCAGTTGAGTTCGAGTTCCAGTTCCAGTTAAGTTCCAGTTAGTTGAAGTGAGCTGAGAGCTCTGAAGATAGCTGACTTGAAAGATTCCACGCAAATCACGACTCAACTTCTAATCAAGAACACTTTATTTTTGAAATACGACTTAGACTCACACCACCAAAACAAGTTTTACGAATATCGCCTGAAGATACACCAAGAACCAGTTTCGTAAATAACAAACAACTTAAGATGTTAAGACTCGCCTAACAAACACAAAGTGTCACGAATCCATATAGCGGGTTGGGAAGAAGACTCTGTCCTGAATTCAGCAACCGGATATAAAATATTGTTATACTTTTTTAACACATTTGAACTTTTCGAGTAATTATTTTATTTTTTTTAACATATACTTGTGCAATATCGCCCTTGTTCGGTCTCGGCTTGCATTTCGGTCCGGCGACTGATTGATTTCGTCTACCTAAGATCAAATCACAACGTGGTTGGTTAGACTAGAAATCAAAACAGTTACTTCGGTAACCAGACGTTGGAGGCGAGCTGGGAACGACAAGGCTGATGCCGAATCTAACTTGATTCCCATCCGAATCAGTAAAAGGTTAGAACGTCACATTTGGTGCCGCGACCAATACCAAGTCACATTGGTCGTCACAGGACAGGATAGGACGGCGACGGCGCGGAGACAGACGGGGTGACGTCATAATTGGCGCCGCGACCAGGACAGCACGGCGGGCGCGGCCAAGCAGTCGTCACGATTGGCGCAGCGACACCGGGGGACGTTCAAACTAGCTTATCCTCGCAAGAGAGAGTAAATTATGTTTTAACTGTAAAATGAAAATTGACCAGCTCTAAATTACAGTTGTCAAAAAAAAACCATCTTGATATCACATCTGAAGCAGTCAGAGCAAAGTATTTTCGTAGTGACAGAAGTAGCCGACATTTTAACAGTATCTTTAGAAATTGGCATCAATCATAACACTTTATAATATGCTGATGATGCAGTGTTAATGGCAGACACAGAAAGAAACTCCATGAACTCCTCAGTCAGCCAGTTATGTACCCATGCGTGATACACGCTTAGGCGATCATGTATCTTTCGATACATGACTGACGAGGTAGATTAGGTT